AGGTAATGTTTAACTTTTTTAATTTGACACTTTCCGTATGAGGAGCGAGGGAAGGAAAAATCCAGCAAAAACAGATGTGAGCTCAGGTGACCATTGTCCATTGGCATGGAAAGCCACCAACTCACATTCCTTTGGAGTATCAGATTATAAAAGTTGGACTGTAAGTTATCCTCCTCCATACTAAAATTTGGCAGGAAAAACAAACAACGACTTGTTCAAATTTTAAGTAAACCTCACTATAGCACAACCAATGTTGTAAATAAAGTCAAGCTGATCAGTGAAAAAAAAATTGAAAACACAACACATTGAACTAGGAGAGAAAATTACCAATTTTGATGCATCTGGAAACATTTAAGAAGATTAGGTACAGCTCCACTGGATGTAAATCTTCAAACACTCGTAGAAAAAGTATTGTTCCTAACACTTGCGCAAAGTGTCTTTTCCGCACTCAAAGCTTATCCGAATTCCGCTTCGGGTTGTTCGTCTTACTGCTTTTTCGGGCGGGAAAGTATCACTTTGCGCACTTGTTAGGAAAATAACTATTTCCGTGCGCCCTTCGATTGATATTTTATTTTGCGCATCGTTTTTATTTTCTGGAACACTAATAGGATCGGTTTCTACTAGTCCATGCCTAGGATACCATCGAACTCTATGTCGATGTCGTGAATGAAAACTTTGAGAGGGTCGCCTGCTTTGAAAGGTACAAGGGTAGATTCCGTTATATGGAGCTTTTGATTCGTTATCCCTTGGATGGTAACGTTTTCAGGGGATCTAGTTCGAAAATTTTGGGCTGTATTTTTCTTGAAAACGGAAATACCAGCACCGTTATCGATAAGGAGCTTGAATTTGTTTGAGGCGTCTTTAATATATAAAAGGTTTTTTGAATTTACGCTTAGCAATGGGTTTGAAAAAAGTTTTGTTCCGGAAAGTTTAGATTAGGATCCATATTGTCGAGGTTCAAGGTCTGGATTTGATCCTGGATTTCCTGCCACGTGGTTGGTTGCTCGATCACTTCTTGAGTTGAATAATTGTTCGGAGGGTGGTTCTGATTTGGGAGTGACAGAAAATTTTGATAAACATCAGTATCAAGCTGTGTGACAGGATTATTAGGGTCATATTGATTATAATCGTAGCCATACTCTAACCATTCTTGAAATTATTCTTGAAAGTTTTCTGGATAATATTCGTAGGATTTATCTTCAGGGTATTGGGGGTTTTCGTAATATTGGGAGTTAAAGGATTACTGAAGGTCGTGTTTGCCCTTGAAATGGCTGAGTTGCATTAGAGGGACTGAACTGGGTCTGGGGTTATTAGGCATTATTTGAATTGGTTGCTTGGGTTTCTCTTCTAATGTACGAAATATTCTGGAAATAGTTAGGGCGTTGAGATTGATGAGAGCGGCATTCATATGACATATATCCAGTTCGTCCACCAGTGTAACATTTTGTACCTTGAGAAGGAGCCCTTTCTATTTGTGTATTATTTTCTCGCTTAAAAGCATTGACTGGTAACCGACAGTTATGTTAATAAAACATTCTTAATTAGGTTTGAAGAAAAATAGTCTTGAAAATCCCAAAAATTCTTTATTTATGTACTACCGGTTTCGAAGCTTCAACGCTTCATCTTCAGGTATAAAAAGACTAAAATTGAAAAAATACCACAATGAGCACCAGTTGCATTATTTTCGTTGAATCAATCAACCTCTAAACTTGGTTATATTAGTCTTAATATCTAAAAACTGTAACTTACATATTTAATAATAATGAGAGTTGTCAAAATCAGGTCGATTCGGAGGAACAATACCTGGGCATTAGGCAAAATTGTCAATAAGGGATGTTACCCTTTTGAGTGTTATACTCATGTCCAAAAACAAGAAGGTCGGTTGATATTTTTAGTCTGAAAAAATTCCAGGAAAATTATTGAAATGTATTAGCAGTAGAAATTCGATAAGTTTACAAAGGGTTGGAAGTTTTTTATTAAATTCCATTATGTGAAAAATACCTTTTTCTCCAAACGTCAGAAAAACTTCACTTTGTTAATCCCTGTCAGAAATTTGATTTCTATGCTGCTAGGCAAATCCGGCGGGTTAACACCTGTCGAGGTGGTAGAAATTTAATTTCTATGCTGCTTGGCAACCCCAGCGGCAGCAAAAGTACTTTTAGTACCGCAGGAGCGGCAGTAGAAGTACTTTTAGTGCCGCTCGTACTTTTACTGCCGCTCAACCATTCACTTGCCCTCGAGGTTACCCCATTCGTTCGGAGAAAAAATAGCGTGTTGCATACGGAGTAGAAGCACTTTTTTCTGCTTCAGCAGTATTGCAATGTTTTTTTCTTTCTTTTTGTTTTTTGGTTTTTTGGCTTCTTTGGGATTTCTTGTTGTATAAATATTAGTGTATATAGACGAAAAACAATGATATATATATTTTTAAAAAAACGTTACTAGAAATAATTAATTTTAAAAAGGTGTAAAAGGTGTAAAAGGACAAATTCACATTTTTTGGACGATGATACAACATTGACAATACTGTTGGTTCAGGTCACGTGCTCTTTTTTGGAGTGACAGCACTACGTATGTGTGGTGACCTCTATTAATTATTTGAAAAATTTAACCCAATATGACAACCATGTTTATCTTGTACCGTTTCTCCTTTATCGACCCAATCTGTTACAATCTAGGGTACTGTACCGTATAAAAACATTGTTTACAAATCAACTCATTGATACCTAGAGGGCGACAAAATTTGAAGAAAGTTATTTTTAGTAATTACAAAAAACCAATCGTAAGAAAACTGTAAAAATCGTAGAAAACTGTAAAAACACAATCAAAGAACAATAGGTTAGCAATTTTTTATATCTAAAAACTTTGAACTACAGGGCAACCAAGACATGAGGGTTAGGAATAGGGGATGCAAAACTAATTTAATAATTTATTTTACTGGAAAAACAAACTCAAGATTCTGTTATCCATGAAAAAGGTTTGTGAGTTGATGATTCTATCAGGGTCATCTTTAGTTGATCTAATAATTTCTAACGCTTCCAAATTATTTAAAATAGCATTGTTACTTTCAACATGTAAAATTTTATGGTTGTTTTTGAAATCTGTTTGGTGTCCCGTTTCCAAAATATGCTTTGCAAACAGTGATTCTGTGTTATTTAACCTAACACATCTACAGTGTTCTGAGAAGCGTGTCTTGAAATTTCTCTTTGTTCTGCCAATGTAAATTTTTCCACAACCGCAAGCCAATTGGTATACACCAGGATTGAGTAAAGGGTCAATTTTATCTTTATTATTTATGAAAAAATTACTTAAGGTATTCTTTGATTTGAAAGCTATTTTAATATTGTGACGTGAACAGATCTTCTGTATTGTATATGATATATCACCATTAAACGTTAATGAGAAAAATCTTTCTGTGTTGCCCCCTACACTAGTGTTTGTTGTTGGTAAATATGAATTATTAGCTAAATTCCTCAATAATTTCTTCTGTATGAGCTTATTGACTATATTAGGGTCAAAATTGTGGTCTTGAGCTATTTGTTTAATTATTTTGATTTCCATCTCTCTAGCGTCTTCGGACAGGGGGATGTCTATGGATCTATTGACAAAACTGCTGAGGGCAGCTAATTTCTGTAACATAGGGTGGAAAGACGATTGGTGTATTATTACACCTGTATGAGAAGGTTTTCTATAAATTGCAAAGTGATGTTTATTGTTTACATTTTTTATTGTAAGATCTAGAAAATTAATAGATTTGTTGGTTTCTATTTCAACAGTAAATTATATTTTTTGATGAATTGAGTTAATATTGTTAATAAAATCGTTTAGTTGTTCTCTACTGCCTGACCATAAAAGAAGAATGTCATCAACATATCTATAATAATATATTATGTTTCCACAAAAAGGGTTGTTCTTTAGAATGTGGTTAGTTTCAAAAAAATCCATAAATATGTCAGCTAACAATGGTGATAAAGGAGATCCCATAGAAAGTCCATCTTCCTGACGGTAGATCGTTTCATTGAAAACAAAGAAATTTTGTTTTAAACAAATATTTAATAGTTTTATCAATTCAACTGCTTCATTGTCTGAGAGTGTACTATCATGTAGGTTATTTTTAATTATTTGTAAAACTTCATTAGTTGGGACATTGGTGAACAAATTTGTAACGTCAAGTGAAATCATTAGAGCATTGTTAGGTATTGGCACATCTTTAATTTTATTTGCTAATTGTGTACTATTCAAAACTGTATTCTCAAAAACACAATTGTATACTTCTCTAAATTTTACATTTAGCCACTTTGCCAATTTATAAGTTGGAGAGTTTGTGAAGGAAACTACAGGCCTTATGGGCATTTCGGAGAAAATGTCTGATTTGTGTACTTTCAATAGACCATATAATCTTGGGATTGTGGTATTATTAGCTGATAAATGATAGATCAAGCCTTTTGATATTGTAGATGTACATTCTTTCATTACTGAGTTAACTGTTTTTATAAAAGTGGGGAATTTGGGGTTAAATATTTCAAAATTATTCTCCCAAACAAATTTCAAGACTTTCTCATCATAATCTTTTTTATGTAACACTACTACACTATTTCCCTTGTCAGCCTTAGTAAGAACCAAGTGTCCCTCTGATATTTTTTCTTTATTGACTTTATTGTTGCTGTGTTAAATGAACCTTGATCTAATAAGTTTTTGTTTTTAATTTTGGATAACTCCGAGCGAAGTACATAAATAAAGAATTTTTGGGATTTTCAAGACTATTTTTCTTCAAACCTATCATCTGCCCAAAAAATGGACCACATACAATCCTTATTCTCAATTAGTTAGTTTAATAGTTTTTTTTTCAAAGGCTTCCTGGGATGGTAGAAATCTATGAGTAAAATTAGGATATGGAAATTCTATTAAAAAAACTACCGTTGCTTGTAATATCATCTACCTATATTAATTGCCCTAAATTTATTTTTTATTATATTTTCCTATTATAGCGTGATTCATATTAGGTGATCTCTGATCTTTCCATTCAAAATATGTAAACGCTTGTGTCAGAAAGTAACAGCAGATTTGTCATTTTGAATGGAACGTCTACCTATCTAATATCATTTCTGATTGCTGGAGTGAAAAATTAAAAATAAAACGCTGAATCACAACATTATGTCCATCCTAGATGGTGGTGAGTAACAACGAATAAGAATAAGCTCCTCGTACAATCTAGAAAAGAAAAATATGTGATTAAAGTTTGGCTCATTTTCACTCATCAAAATTCTCTTTCGCGATTGTTTCAGTACTTGCAGCACTTCGGTATCTTGATTTTGATTATCTATTCACATAGGTGCATCAGCTGGAAACTCAGAAGTTTGCTATGAATGATTTTTTTTTAATACCGGTAAATTTATTGAGGATCTGTATACATACATCATTCCCAACAAATCAACTAGAAAGCAAATTCCAGAAATTCTTACCGCTAAAAAGGTCTCCAACGAAATATTGTGAAAATTTCCAATGGCAATGTGCAAAGGCTTCTGAGGCGTCATAATGCACATCACAAGATTTTTGCGTACGTCCTCAGGATACTCTGTCCAGTCCAAATTGTACCAAAAATTGGCGATTTCGAGACCTCTCTGAGTCAATATGTTGGAACTGTAGCAATAAATGAAAACCCTGACGAGGTGGAATGCGACGGATTGACTGAGGAGAAGCAATTGAGCCAGGCTCAGATTTCTCTGAAATTCCCGAAACAAAAGATTTTGAAAGGTAGAAAATCTTAAATTTAACTTACGACGATTAGAAAAATTAGTGTAGCTACTTGAATGGAACTAGGCACAAAATCCAGTAGCAATATGTTCTTTAAAGTGTCATTCAATTGTATCACGTAGCTGAAAATAAATACATATTAACTGGTGCTGAGCAAATGCAAGACTAAGACCAAGACCGGGTTAGTCTTGGTCTTGGTCTTGGTCTTGCACCAAAACTGGTAGACTGGTAGATTTTTACTTAAGGCAATTTTAACAAAGAAAATTAAAAAAAAAAAATAGTTTTTAAAGTAAGTGAAGGTGTAAAGAAAGGGACAGTATATTCCAGTATCAAAATGTTGGTTTTTCAATATTAAGCAGCACAGCAGCAAATTTTGACAAGAGAATCAGGCAAGCAATTTTTTCTAGTAAAAATGCACAAAAAAACATAGCGAGTTAAAGGATCACTTGTTTAAGTTTGTCCCTGTAATATTGAAACATCCTTATTTCTAATCTATCTATTTTCTTGATAATCTAATGCAGCTATTGTTTTAATTTTGACAATTTTTTTTGGAATAAGTATCTTACTATAATTTCATAGTTTCAAAAAAAATATATATATCTAAGTCACTGGGGGCGGTTACCTTAGCTGGGATTAGAAATAAACCAAAATTATTATTGCTTATTGCTCAATGAAAAAGTGCACATCAGTTGTATGCATTTCTCAGCAAATGAAAAATTTCTTAACAATTTCACATACTCGTATCTCATGCGGTAAACTGTACTTTTTTTCACACATTTGCGTGCGGTTAGTAGTATTCTACCACATACTATGCGGAATATACTATATGGAGAATACAGAGTTCAAAAAGCAAAAATAATGAAAAAGATAGTAGTTTTTTTATGGATAGAAAAATCTTTCACTTTTAAACACCAATTCGATTTACGTTGGAAAGTATGTTTGATAATTGGGTTCGGGAATTCTTTATATTCTCTAAAGTTGTAGGATAGGGTATGATATGATGATATTCAACTACAAACAACTAAATTAAATGCTGAATTTTATTATCTTTAAAAAAATGCTCGGTCTTGGTCTTGCGTAAGTCTTGCAATACCTACTAGGTCTTGGTCTTGCATAAGTCTTGCACTGCTCGGTCTTGGTCTTGGTCTTGCAGTCTAATAAGAGGTCTTGCTCTCTGAATTTTGCGCACCAAAAAATGTATCATTGGACAAATAGCTCTGTTCAAAGGCGGTAGCGTTCTGATGAAGTTTAACCGAATATGAATTAAAGTGCTCAGATTTCAGTCTATTTTTTTTTTTTTTTTAAGCTTTAAAGTGCATCAACCACTAGGGTTATTAGCACATGGTACAATAATTTTATAATTTGAGGTATAAATTACAATTCAATCAAATTAGGTATATCCTGTTGGCTTTTGAAGATGTCTTGCATTGATCCACCAATATGGAGCGCTTTCCTTTGTTGGTTGTATTTGGGGCATGTAACTAATAGATGTTTGACTGTTATGGTTTCGTTGCGTAATTCACAGACTGGGGGGTCTGTTCTTTGTAGTAAATGTCCATGTGTGAGTCTAGTGTGTCCGATTTTGAGGCGACTTATTATTATTTGTAATGACCGGCATATGGATATGCTGGTTAGGTTTTATTGACGGTTTCACTTCGTGTAGTTTAGGGTTCGAACTGATCCATTCTAGTTGCCACGAGTGACACGAGTCGCGTACTAGAGTTTTCCTATAGCATTAGTCACTTATTGTGTTTCCTGTCCGGAAGGTAGATGCGCCATCAGTCAAGGCTTGTTTAGCTACAGAGTCTACTGAGTCCTTACCTGGGATTCCGGTATGAGAGGGGGTGAAAATGAAAAACACAGATCTATTGTCATTTTGTATGCCTATTAATGTCTTTTTTATTTTATGTTCTATCTGGTGTTTTGGATATATTCTGCCTATTGAGTATAGGGAGCTAAGGGAATCGCTTATAATCAAGCTGTTTTGGATGTTATTATTTCCTATGTTTTCTAGTGTCTTGGATATTGCGAAAAGTTCTACTGCGTATATTGATGCAAATTTGGGTAATTTATATTTCTGCACCATGTTGTTTGATACTAACGCAGCGCCTGTTCCTTCGCCTGTTTTGGGAGCATCTGTGTAAAAGCTAACTGTATCTACTGGGAGTTTTTCTACGATTTGTTTGAATTCCGATTGAATAATGTGTTTTGTTCGTCATATTTAGTTAGGCTGGTATTGACTAGTGGCCTGTTCATTTACCAAGGTGCGACTAAGGTTTTGTCAATGATCGGGAACTCTGAGAATTGTAGATGTAGATCTTCACGTTATCTGTTGAGCCTTTCGTAAAAGGCTGGTTTGATCCGTTTTTTGTTCTGGTAAATTTCTCTATATCTGTTGGATAAAATATTGGTGTATGACGGGTGTTTGGTGGAAATTGCCCTTGTTGTGGCATATGCAATGCATAACATTTTCCTTCTTTGTCTTAGTGGAGGATCGCTAGCTTCACATAGTAGGCTTTCCATGGGACTTGTGCAAAAAGCACCCTGAGCAATGCGTATTGCTAAGTTGTGGACTTTGTCAAGTAGTGCCAATGTATTTTTTGAGGCTGAATTGTACATCGATTTTTGATCTAATTATGGCTCTATAGATTCGTAGCAGGGATAAGGAGTCGGCACCCCAGGATTTATGAGCTAAAATCTTCAAAAGATTTATTCCTTTTTGGCATACCTACTAGAATTAGTTTTTTTTTATGTGTGGCACCTGTGTCAGTTTTTCGTCGAAGATTAGTTTGAGGAATCTGGTGGTTTTGACAAAATCTAAGTTTTTGTCGTACAGTGTATTGCTTCTTCACTTTTTTTTTAGAAGATCATAGGTACATTTTGTTTTATCGGTGGAAAATGTAAAGCCATCAGTATGTTGAGTCCAGAGTTCAAGTGCGTTTATATTATCTTGCATAAACTTAGTCATGGATTGCAGATTTTTCCTCTTTGATTGTCAGAACCAAGTCGTCGGCGAAAAGTCGAAATTTGATGGGTGTTTTTATTTGATTGGCGATGCTATTGATTGCCGCTAAGAACAGGGTGACACTTAGAACTGCCATGATACTTGTGGTGTTCCATGCTCTTGCTTCATCTGACATGCAACCGTTTAGTCGAACTTGGAATTTTCTGCTTTGCAAGAAGTTCTGGATGAAAATTAAGATATCGCCTTGGATTCCTCAATCGATGAGCTGTTTCATGATATTATATCTCCAGGCGCAGTCGTATGCTCTACTTATGTCGAAGAATATTGCTAGACATTTTTGGTTATTTGCGAAAGCATCTAGGATTTTTGTTTCCAGGTCGATTAAGTTGTCTTCAGTTCATCTATTTTTTTGGAATCCATTTTGTTCTGGTGCTAATCTATCGTTTAGTTCAAGGTACCAGGTTAGTCTGTTGTTAATTATCCTTTCTAGTATTCTAGTAGTTTGCAAGTAAGAGAGATTGACCTGTACGAAGATGGATTGGATTTCGATTTTTCCGGTTTTAGGATTGGGACTATTATAGGACCATAGAATTAGAAATTTGTGTTGTTGAAAGATAAAGTAATATAGGTCCAGGAGAAAATGTTTGGCATTTTCTGGTGAATTTTGAAGAAATGTAGCAGGTATGTCATCAGGACCAGGGCTGCAGTCTTTTAGTTTAGAGATAGACTCTTCAAGTTCCCATTTGGATATTGGTAAATTTAGAGGAGAGTTGTCTTCTTATGTAAAAACCGGAAAGTTTCTTTCGGTGTATTTTTTTGTCAGTATGAATGATGGATTGTAGTTTATGTCGCTAGAATTTGTTTCATATGTGTTTTTTAGAGTATTTGCTATGCTTTGGTTAGCTGTTATGATATCATTGTTAGTGCATAGATAAGGAATTGGAGCTTGCTCTTGCTCTTAGTCGTTTGAAAGATAGATTTTCTTAGGTTTTTTGTTTTTTAAATTTATTGAAAGCTTGTTTGCTTTCCTTTATTGCCAGTTTACAGGCTTCGTTCCACCATGGGACTGGCTTTTTTGCTAATTGGTTAGATGCTTTCCCCATTGATTGGTTAGCAGCGTCATGAATTGATTGAAGTTGTGAACGGTTTGGTCAATGTCAGTTTCTAATTTCATTTTGCTCATGTTGTTTTCAATTATTTTTTTTAAAAATGATCCCAGTTAGCATGTTTAAGGTTCCACTTCTGGCGAGGTCCTGTTTCACTTTTATTTTCTGACGAGGAAACTTTAATTGGATAATGGTCACTTCCATATAGTGAAGGTAGTACTTGCCAAGATAGCGTTGTTGAAACATTTGGATCACAAAGGCTCCAGGTCGAGTACAGAAAAGTTGCCCGTGAACGAGTTGAAACGTGTAGAGGAGCCATCGTTTAGTAAAATCAAATTTTTTGAGTTCATAGATTCTTCTAGGAATTTACCTCTTTTGTTGTTGCTTGGGCTTCCCCAAATCAGGTTCTGGCTGTTAAAATCGCCCATTATTATGCGTGGAGAAGGTATTTGTTTAAGTAAGTCGCAGATTTCTTGTTTGTTGAATTCTCGATCGGGTGGAATCTATATATTGCATATTATCAGAGGTTGTGGTAGTGGTATAGAGGCTGCGACGGCTTCCAGATTGGTGGTAAGGGGGACGTTTACTGCCTCCAATTCCTCCTTAGTAAATATTGCTACCCCACCACTTGCTCTGTCTCGATTTGTTCTGTTGCTATAAAATCCTTTAAATTTTTTGGGGCAGAGAAGCTTATCATCTCGAAAATGTGTTTCTTGTAAGGCAATTATTGAGGGGTTTTCATTGTGGATAAGAAGTTGCAATAGCTCTAGATGGGATAGGTAGCCGTTAATGTTCCATTGTATAATTGGAGAGTATAATGTATTCATTATTAGAGGGTGTTTTGTTGTGTTATTAGTAAGTGTCCTGAGATGAATCGCTTTCTATATCAGTAGTCGCAAGGTTTAAATGTTGACTTAATTTCTTTTTTATTTTGGTACACCTTATTTTAAGGCTCCTGGATACAATTCTAGGATATATATCTGTGATTATCTTTTGCAGCACTCCCAAGTTTTGAGTGAAATTTAGGGTAACTTGTAAAATATCTAGTGAGCCATGTGTGTTTTCTTCAAGATCAACCAATTGTTCATATGGGATTATGTAAGGTGGATCATGTTCTTCTATAAATTTCTTGGCAGGTTCTAGTTGTTCACATATTTGTGCATGAAGGTTTGCTAGTAGGTTTTATAAAGTTATAGTCAAGTTGAATTTCTGATGGTGGTGTGACAATTTCAGTGATGTTCCTTTTAGTCGACTGGACATCGGAAAAGGCATTTTCTGTATCTGCTGAGGTGGTTTTTAAGGTTGATGGGTTATCTGATGGTGGTTCTGTGTTATCTAGCTCTTGGTTACTTTTATTTGGGCATTGAGAAGCAACATGTCCACTTTGCTTACATTCGAAGAATGACATACCATCTTGGAAGAGAAACATTCGGTAGAAAGTGTTGTCCTGAGTAATGAGTATAGAACTTGGTATTTCGAGGTCTTCAGATTGCGTAACGTAGACTTGCCTCCGGAAGCTTAGGATGACTATATTCTGGAGTGTTGACTCCTATCCGTAAAAATGTAATTGGTGAGACCAGTTTTAGGCCAAGTTTCTTTAGCTGATCTTCGAGCATTGCATGAGGGATAGTTGGACATACGTTTGAGAGGACTATACGTTGAGCAGGAGAAATGAGGCGTCTGGCTTTAAGAGATTGTCCATTTATACTTATGGTACCATAATTGGTTAGAAAGTGATCCACTTTTTCTTTGTTTGATAAATATACACAAATTCTGTTATTAGAAATCCTAGATGCGAACGAAATGTTTTTTGGGCCTATTATGGCGCCGAGGGAAAATATATGCTCCTGTCTAGAAGATCCATCCAGAGCACCAAACAAGATTGCTTGTTCCTTGATAGGAAACGAGTTTTGAGATAATACAGATGAGTATAATTTTTGTTGGAGAAGTTGGGTGTGTGATAGGTTTGGATTTTGATGAGAAACTTGATTGGCATTTCTGTAGTCAAGAGCGCCTTCGCCTTCATGATTCATTTTGGTTATGAATATATTGATTCATCTAGCAAATTCCTACTACGGTTCTGTATTTGCGTGGTAAGTCGACGATCAGCTTGAGAAAGACAAGACAAGCTTATGTTGTTTTGGCTAATTAATACAGTCAATATGCAAGAAATTCTATAACTTACAGTCAAACGATGATTAATTTTCTGTAGAAGAATTAGTGGTGGGCTTTTGCAATATTCAATTTCTTCAAAAATTACTAAAATCGGATTTTTAAACGGACCTGTCAGGTGTTGCAGTGCAACCGTTCGTTGGCAGGACCGGACTCAGTGGTCAATTGAAATATAGCAAAGACGTTGTCAATAGAACTATGATTATATGTTATAACGACTATTTGACTACCGCTGCAACAATTCGCGTGCTACGAAGTTAATACAATAATCCAGTAACTTTGTCCGTTGCGTGAGCGTGGGGATTACCGTGCGTCAAATCCGGTAGTTCTGATTTTTCGTCGACTTATTAATGATTTTGGCCCAATGAATGACCCAAGTTCTCGAACTCGATGGCCGAACGCAACCTTGTTAGAAATGCAAAAAAAAACGCAAAATTATCGATTTTTCGGGTTTTTGCCGATTTCAACCGTGAAGGAGTATTTTTTCCAGAATAACTGTTAAGTACATTTCATAAGTTCACTAAAGGATCCCGCACGGATCTTATGAGAAAAAATAAATTTCACGATTGTCATGAAATTGAAATTTTTGGCATTTTTCGACAAATTTTCAACCTTCAAAGCTTCAGATGACATTACTTTAGCATTTTTTCACCTGTTTTTAACCTAGAATATGTCATTCCCTAAACTCAAGATATTTTGAAATGTTTATTTTTTGTCAAAATTTTGTATGTTAACCCGGCCCTGTATCTCCGAAACTAATCATAGGATCTTTTTGGGCCTACGAGAACTTATATACGTTCAGGAAGTCGCATCATAACATATTTCAATTTCATGACAATCGTGAAATTTATTTTTTCTCATAAGATCCGTGCGTGGTCCTTTCCTATAATTTGAGACTATTATTATTTCTGTAGACTCAATACTTCCGTAGATACAGCTCTTTAAAATATCGAAGCTATAAGCGAAAAAGTGGCGCGGTGTCGGGTCCTCAAAATTTTCTAAAGGAAAGGCCAAAATCGACATTTTATTTTTTATTTTTTCCAGGCTTACGGAGCATCGCATCGTAGCGAATAGGGTCATATAAGCAAGCTTTTTGACGTATTTTTTGCTCCTCTTTCCGATGGTAATTTTTTTTGCCAAAATTCGGAAGAGTAAATGCAGCCCCTGCGTATACCATTGCACACCCTTTTTTAAAATTGGGGGGTTAGGAGCTAAAACCCCTCCGGTAGGTCGGAGAAGGCTGAAACTCGCTCGGGCCGTCGTCATTTTTAGATCGCAAAGGGGGTCCGTTCTCGAGATATCGCGCTTTTATGAATTTGTCAAAAATTCCTCCTCGCCTTCCCCCTCAATCGATAGAGCTACTTTTTCTCTACAACCATACAAAATTTCAACTTTCCACACCCAGCCGTTTGGGCTGTACAGGGGTTGGAAGTCAAAACTTTGACAGCCTCCCCAGGATCCCTCGGGGGAGGAGGGGGGACGAAAATTGTTTTGGCTCGACAAAATCAAAAGTTCTAGGTCCCCTGAAAATTTCAACTTTCTATTTTATCGGGAAGTAGCTGGAACATCGCGCGCGGGCGTTGTTTCGAGAAAGTTCGAAAAGCTCCCTTTCGGAAACTGCTGCACCTTACAGAGATGGTTCTGGTCTTAAATTATAGGAAATTTAGTCTACTTCAAAATTTCACTGAATAGTTTTTTCGAAAAAACTAGTCCTTCAGGGTTAGGCTAGGTTAAAATCGGCAAAAACCGAAAAAATGTCGAAAATCCAGCGTTTCTTCTGGACTTTTGACTAGGTTGCGTTCGGCCGTCGAGTTCGAAAACTTGGGTTATTTATTGGACCAACATCATAAACAACACAGCAAAAAATTAGAAATACCAAATTTGACGCATGGTCAGATGTACAGTCCGTTTCACCAGGGTTCATACTTGACCTTGAAACTTGAAAAAAAAAGGGTTGTCGTAGATTAATTCGTATGACACATTCAATTTTTTGACAAATAAAAATGAATGACTTTTGGTTTAAGAACCGACGAACCTTTTTGAGGTCATTGATTTGTTTCAGTCAATTTTTATTTGTTAAACAAGGAAAGCAAATGCTGGTGGCAAGTACAGGGTGCTGCAATTTGGAGTGTTTTAACAGGAAAAACACACTTCCCGACCAGATAGAGGAAAATTGACTTAGATGTCACGGGATCGATTTTCGAGAAACGCCGATTGTCAAAAACCGTATCGCGATATCTTCAATGGTACCATTAATACAGGGCGATATTCGATTTTCCCCTATTATGAAAAATGGCTATAAGTTTTTTATTTATCAATTTTTTTTATTTCTGTAAAAACATTATGGAGACACTTTTTTGAACACAATCCAGTGGCGGACTCGGTTTTTTTCTATATCGCTCCGATTCCGAGATATCGACCAAATTCCGATATTTTCAAATGAAGCACCCTATATATTAATAGCTCATTGGATAGCTCTGTTTTTGCTGATTTCAATGATATAAAGTTCGATAGGTTTATCTCCGACAGTTTTCGAGAAAAAAAATTATATCTGTTTCGGTCATAAGAAACAATGTGTTAGACAGAGCTCTTCCTCATTCTCCTTACACATATAAAATCCTTTTCTAACACATTGGTCCTTACGACAAAAACAGATATAATTTTTTTTCTCGAAAACTGTTAGAGATAAACCTATCGAACTTTATATCACTGAAATCAGCAAAAACAGAGCTATCCAATGAGCTATTAATATATAGGGTGTTTCATTTGAAAATATCGGAATTTGGTCGATATCTCAAAATCGGAGCGATATAGAAAAAAACTGAATCCGCCACTGGATTGTGCTAAAAAAAGTGACTCCATAATGTTTTTACAGAAATAAAAAAAATTGATAGATAAAAAACTTATAGCCATTTTTCATAATAGGGGAAAATCGAAAATCGCCTTGTATCAATGGTGCCATTGAAGATATCGTGATACGTTTTTTGACAATTGTCGTTTCTCAAAAATCGATCCCATGACGTCTAAGTCAATTTTCTTCTATTTGGTCTGCAAGTATGTTTTTCCTGTTGAAACACTCCAAATTGCAGCACCCTGTACAAACCCTGGCGAAACAAACTTTATATGGTTACTAAACTACAATTTTAAATTGATATTTAAACTCCAAATTAGAAAGCTTGAGAATTTTTAAATACCCACCTCACAATATCTTTATGCCTCTGCAGGTTTTCATTTTGCATCTTCCTGTAAGAGTCCTCCATAGTCGTTCTATGCGTAGCTGAGTGCTCAGTAGCATATCTTTGGAAGTTACTCATGTAGTGACGCATCACATCCATTTGACAAACTCCAAAAAGAATGAAGCTGCATGCAATTTGATTGGCTTAAATCAGCCTCAGAAATCCCAATTACTCACCAATAGCAAATCAGGTCGGTTGCAGCCAGAACGAAAGTCGTGAAAGATCCAAATGAAGTGGAGTACACGTAAGCAAGGAAATATGAGTTGTCGAATGGTATCCACATAGATATGGGTGTCTGGGTGACGGCTACTGTCTCGTTACCTTTAGTTACGTAGTAAGGATCCCTGAACAATGGTGCTGGAACGTAGCCGCCCATCATAAGCACCGCAATCATAAAATAGCAGTACTTAGTTCTTTGAACTAGAATCAGAGATGTTTCGTAGGCGGTTTGAACTGTAAGGTCGCCAGTGGAATAAATAGAGTCTTCGAATTCGAAAGCTTTCTTAAAGATTTTGCCGCTGAGTTTGCCTAAAAGGGAAAGCCTAAAGTATTCTAGGAATCCAAAATTTTCAGGAGCCACCTTTCAAAAAAATACCCCGGAAAAAAGTATTAGCAAAGTAAATCGTGATACCAATATTTCTTAAGACCTCGTCAATAATGAGCAGGTCGTCGTTGCAAATCTGATACAACTTAAACAGCTGACTGAAGACCACGAAACTGACAATACCGTAGACAAATTTACCACAACAAATGTAGAAGATTCGATTAAATTCAGTTTGAAAGTCCATTACGTCAGGTAACAGGCAAAAGTAGTACATCGACTTCATCATCAAACTGCCGAAGAATTTATTCTGGAGTGGATCCTGAAAAGAAAATTTCAAAATTGTCAATCAGAAATTCGTATATTCTTACCGATTTCTTCATCTTGTGAGGTACTAGAGGACAACTACTATTATAAGTCCTAATGCAATTACCGAGGAGTATTTATATGTATAATAAAATCCTCTCCAATGTTAATTTTTAATAAGGCAAAGCATTAAACCGGCAATTTTCCTGCAATTAGGTCAACAATAATTTTTCGTATTTACTAGGACAAATTGCGCCAAATTGGACATTTAAACGTTTGCATACACGCCCAGCGAGTACTGTGACGGCGACTTCATACATTTTTAAATTTATTTGGTATATAGGCAAGTAATCCTCACAAATATACATTATTTATTCATTGGCAGCATTAGGGCGGGTATTATAAAACTATTTTTAACAGAAAACTAAAAGTTAACTTCTGGAATTACTATGAAATCAACTTTTAGTTTACTGTCAAAATAGCTTTATAACCCTCAAATATTCGTTCTTGCGAGAAAACGTAGCAGTAGAAAGAATGAGGTCCCTCTGGAGTACCCCACCAAGACAAACCCGTGAGGTAATATCGTCGTCGAGGGAGAATAAAACTTATCATCCTGTAACTTTTTCAAAAATTTCATATGCGTTGCATCGGAAAACCAGCTCACAAGTGAATTTTCTTGAAGATTCTAGAAACTTCCATAGAATTCTATTTGGTAACCGTGAGAGATAGGTACTTACGAATAGTGACTTTATTATTGATTTCAACATCAAAAAACAGAGTGATTTTTCTAGAACATTCCATTGTGTTCTATTTGAAAATTTGACCTCGCCACAGAACCCTTTATTTAAAAACGCGCTTCGAAAAAAGATCCAGAAAACTCTATGGCAGCAAATGGAGTGAGGTAGTCAAATGTTGGCTAACTTCGTGAAGAATTTGGACGACAAAAGACTAGAAGAAAAAGCCCAAGAAGCCCGAAGACAGAAAAAAAAAACAAGAGGACCAAAGACATAAAGAACAAGAAGAACAGGACCTACTTGCGGCACTTCTACAACAATAAGAAAATTGAGGACAGAAATAAAAACAAGATGGAGAAGACCGAAGACAATAAGAATGTGATCGACTTCAGGAAAATTTTAAATTTCAGCGTAAATGTATGCAAAACTCCGACGAAAAAACTAGACTCGAGAAAAAAAAAGGACGTGAAGAAGTTGGGTATGTTGGTCACGAAGTGAGAACTATTCGCCCAGAAATGGATAGTTTTGAGAACAAGATTGTAGAGTTGGAATGTGAATTGAAATCAGTGAATATCTCAGCCTCGCTTGCACCAGGTCTTAAAGTTAAGCCACCACCATAACACGACCGGGCAGACCTCGTGGGACATGTACCATCGTCACCAAAAGTAACTGCGACAGCGACATATTAGATATTGTATTAATTTTAGTGTCAAATATTTGTCAAACTATGATTCAAATGCAGTGCAACACCATACAAAATATCCAACGGTGTCCAGAGCATCCCAGCCTAGAATATCCAAACGGTGTCCAGGGCATCTTACCTTAGATTATCTAACGTTGTCCAGGGCATCCTACCCCAAAAAGCATAAAATCCTCATTGTTTGGACATTCAAATCTATTTGAACATTCAAATCAAATTTCTTATATCAGACTGTTATATTGAACAAAAGTGTAGCAACATTCTTAAACATGGCAACGCCGTAATAAACCTAGCAACTCAAAAGGATCTGGCAACGCGCAAGAACAGCTGCAGGAAGAACGGCAAGCGACCAATAGGATCGCTCGGCGCGACCAATAAGAAGAGAGGGATTCGAGAGCATGTCACGACATCACGTTGTTATTGTTTGACTAATAATCAATTAAAAATTCGTTTTGTACCGCAATAAATGGTTAATCAATTAAAGTATTAATTCTCGTTAATGTGTTTGGGTTCCCTTTGACCTATAATAAAGGGTGGTCCTTCGAAAGTCCTCAACAGAGGATCATTTTGGTCACTTCGGTCGGATGTGAATTTATTGATTGTTGCAACCTGTGGAATACTGAAGAAGTCGTCAATGGTGAGCTCGTTCCTTTATATTTTCGTATTTTATCCATGATTCCAATCATAATTGAAAGTTTGTATAGTCTCGGTGTGATTAATAATAATTTATTTGTTGATTTAATCCATTTTTTTGCGGTAAATCTCGCATTGCACGTAAATAAATCTCGTTTTGCACGTAAATAAAGCTCGTATTGCACGTAAATCTTGTATTGCACGTAATAATTAAGCACATAATCTCGTTATCATTTATTTCTCGCATAATTTCGCCTCGAATTTAAACCACGCCTCGTTTCACGTAATTTTCAGGTCTCGTTTCACGTATTTCTCACGCCTCGTTTCACGTATTTTTCAGGTCTCGTTCACGCATATAAATTCTCGTTTTCTCGTCTCGAAACATTGAACTTTTAAGTTGATTTTATCGAAAGTTATAAAAAAAAATAAAAAAATAATAATAAATAAAAATGCCTCGTAATAAGAAAAATAACTCTAAAAATAATAATGATGATGTTATGCCAATTGAAACTCAAGAATTTTTACACGCAAGATCAGTAATTTGTGATAGGCTTCAACGCTTCGAAGACTATTTAACCAATGACGAACCCATTGATATTTTTCAACTCGAAATCAGGCTTAAAAGCGTTGAGGACGATTTTTCGGAGTTTGACCAGGTACAGACGCGCTTAGAATTTTTAGACAATGATGAAAAGGATTTTAGATTGGATACTGAATCATTATTTTACTCGTTAATATCGCAGGCTAAACGATTAATTGCAAATGAACGTAATGAACAAAAAGTAAATATCGCGAATAATACAATACAAAACGCACACGGGAATGTAGTTGGTAATACAGGTGCTGGTGTCGCCAGGCTTCCTGATTTAGGTTTACCCAGTTTTTACGGCAAATATGAAACTTGGTACAGCTTTCGCGACATTTTTAATTCGGTCATACATAATCGAACTGATTTGAGTGATATTGATAAATTTTTGTACTTGAAAATTTGCTGTAAGGATGAGGCGCTTAAATTGATTGAAGCTCTGGACGTAACGGCTAATAATTATACTATCGCATTGAATCTCTTGGAAAAACGTTTTGACAATAAAATAGCTATTATAAATTACCACGTCAATAACATTTTGTTTAATCTACCCAACGTTATAAAAGAATCGGCCACACATATCAGGAAACTTTTAGATGCTGTTCATCAGCATATAGCTGCGCTCGAGAAATTAAATTTGCCAGTTGCTCATTGGGACACCTTGTTGATTCCATTGATTTTGCAAAAGTTAGATGAAAGGACTCGTAGGGAATGGGAAAATAAGCAAAATGGCAATAATTTACCCACTCTTACAGATTTAACAGACTATTTAACAAAGAAATGCTTTGCGCTTGAAGCAGTAAATCAAGATTTTGTAAAACAAGGTTCAAATAAAAACACGCATTTTGAAAAGAACTCTGATAGAGGTTATCACTTGAAAAACGCGAATAGAGAAATGTCAAATCCTCGTAGACTTTCGTTTCCAGTAATGGAAAACCGCGGAAGAGAAGCCAGTAATAATTGTCACGTGTGCAATCAGAATCATTTTATCTATCATTGCCCGAAATTCAATAGTTTGTCTATTGCTGAAAAATATAATGAAATTCGAAATCATAAACTTTGCGGAAATTGTCTTAGGTCAGGCCACATTAAATCAGAATGCATGTCAAGTGGGTGCAAAAAATGCAACCTCAAGCATAATACTTGCCTACACGTAGATCGATCTCCTAACTCGTATTCTAATCAAAATAATGCTTCAAATTCCAGCAATTATTCTAGAAACAACTATTCTCAAAATAATGATAATCCAAGAAATAATAATTATTCTAATCAGTCACAAACGTACAACAATGCTGCACGACAATTCCAGCGTTCGCCTTCAGCTGTAAATTTTACATCATTGGGGGAAGATAGGGCTCGCGCGGGGCCTTCTTCGGCGTCGTTTTCAGGAGCGCTAGAGCCGACGGCAAATGCAGGTAGCGGAGAAAGGCAGCAGATAGGTAATGTTACCACCAGGCCTACGGCTACGATGTGTGTAACTAGCACAGAAATGAATAATGAGCAATTATTGGAAATAGGTGGCGGGAGCGAAAAATGTCAATTAATTGAAAGTAATTCAAGCACGTATAGTATTTTCTCAGAAACTCAGGTATTATTGTCTACCGCAACTATTTTAATAAAAGATTCTTATGGAAATTGGACTAAATGTCATGCTTTACTCGACTCAGGAAGCCAATCTAATCTGATTAGCCAGTCTTTGATAAATAAATTAAAATTGAAATGCGACGATTTCAATGTTCCCCTTTCAGGCATCAATCAGATTCAAACAAAAATCAACAGTAAGACTTTTGCATGTATACAATCGCGATTTGGAAATTTCACAAGAAATTTAACGTTTTTAGTATTGCCAATAATAACAGAACAACTCCCTATCGTAGAATTCAAAAAATCATTGATTAACGTTCCCAAAGACATTTGTCTCGCAGATGAAAAGTTTAACGTTCCCAAACAAATAGACTTATTACTCGGATCAGAAGTTTTTTATGACTTGTTGCAATCAGGCAAAATAAAGTTAGGTACTAATCTTCCAATTCTACAAGAAACATCTTTAGGATGGGTATTAGTCGGTCCTTTAAACATTCACGAACGATATCGAAAAACCGTATGCAACACTTCAAAAATTTCAAACAAAGCTTTGCACGATTCATTACAAAAATTCTGGCTACTTGAAGAGTTCGAACCTAATAATTTTTTATCCAATGATCAAAAATATTGCGAACAGTATTTTAAAGAAACCACGACGCGCAGTAATGATAATAGGTTTGTAGTCAAATACCCATTTAAACAGGACACA